AGTCTATCGACAATTCCACCCAAGTAAAAACAGCTACTGTAGTCGCAGTAAAAGGAGCTTTTACAGGACGTAATCGGAGGAGAAAGAAATTGACGAGGCAAAGCCTAGGCAGCGTAGACTGGAGGCGGCCCATCTGCTAACTGTGCCTCAAGAATAGCAAAGTAGCGTTGGCACGTCGAACGTACGGCGTGCTAATAATGTTTTTAATTAATCATCGGCTGCCGAGCGTCAGAGACACGGCGGTAGCAAGCATCGTCGTCGTCGTCGTCGTCGTCGTCATCTTGACTCGTTAACCGGACTGACGTGCTCTAATAACGCAATCATAATAATAACGCATACTCGGATAATTTGTTCGCGCAAAAGGTGTCTTCGCACGTACGTCCGCCCACTGGTTGTCAGAAAACTTGAGCTCGTTATACCTCGAGGCATTATTTTAGGAACTTTATAATGCGTCTGTCTTTTGATTTATTTTCGTTTACGCCGGATGTTGCAAGCCATCGCATATCGGCGCATTGATAATTATTCCAAGGGGAACACGAGACAACGGTCAACGATTGCCACTCGGAATGAGTTTGAAGCGTGCGAGAGAAGATAAGTTGATGGGCGCGATAATGCTAACTCTTGAACTCGTAGGATTTAGTGCGATAGTCGTTGCGTCATCGGGGGCACTTGCAGTTTTGAGAAGAAAAAACGAGAAGAAAACGGCTTGGTTTCGCGCATGAAAAATTCATGACGGTGGCCTATTAGAGCGAAACAAAGTAAAAGTATGAAATCTGGACAGACGCATGCTCGAGTCATTAAAGCATTACGTTCTTTAATTTTCTTTTTTTCGGGATAGGTGCGTGACACTAGGGCATTAAAGATTCGAGAACGGACTGAGCAACAATGTATCTCGAGCGCGAACGAGACAATTTCGTGTCCCGTAGGCTTGACCCACCCTTCATTAAGTCCTCGAGAACGGTAGATTATTGCAAATAAAAAAACAGATCTCCGGCGCCCCTAGGGCTCCGCTGACGTGTTCTCACCCGGCGCTCGCGTGCACTTTGACGCGTGCTACGCTAGTCTTCGCGTGCATCGTCGTCCAACTCGCGGGACAGACCAAAGAGTACCTTCGCAAAGACGACAGGGGATATTGCTCATCTATCCGTCGAACTCTAAGCTTTGCGGCGTAGCTTTCTTATAATAAGGGTCTCTCGCCGCGCTGCTCATGCTTCTATAGTAGCTCGTCTTTTTGATTATTTAATAGCAGAGAGCAATTTTCTCGTGCCATCCTCCCTCCATCTCTCTCTCTCTCTCTCTCTCTCTCTCTCTCTCTCTCTCTCTCTCTCTCTCTCTCTCTTTTACCCCGTACAGCAGTGCATAAAAGAAAAAAGATCATAACTTCTGATGTTCGCATGTTTTTCGACTATTACGCGTCCAAGTATTGCCAATAATAATCCAACTATGTTCGTACAACGCGAACGTAGTCGTGCGCGTAAACCGGAAATTTGGTTGGCACGCGTACACCGGACAGCAGTCAGGCGAGGAAAGCGAATGCGTAGATGTGTATATGCACATCTACGCGGGAGGAAAAGTCGCGTCTAGGCTCGGATTAAACTTGATAGCTAATGAAAAGCGATGTAAAAACGAGAGCCTCCCTTGCCCCCAGTCAACCCAGCTACTTGCTACGCGCAGATCCGCGAGAGTGAAAAGAGCGTTAACGCGCTTGTCACATCAAAGCCAAATCTCTTGAATCGTAAAACTTGCTGCTGGTACTTCTCACGCGGCGTTGCCAACCTCATATCCGCTTTGCGCTTCTTTTTTTCCTATCACACGGATTACCTCTTTATTGCTCGGCGCTAGACCTGTAATATACACAAAGAAACGTATCTGCCGACATTCATTCCTTTGGGAGTACCAGAAGGTTTCGATCAGGCGTCCTTGACAAAACGTTGAAAATACGATATTGCCGCAGAGAAGGAGAGAGAGAGAGAGAGAGAGAGAGAGAGAGAGAGAGAGAGAGAGAGAGAGCGTGTGAAAGCCTATTACATCAATCAGGTAACATTTAAGTATAAAAGCGTCTAGGAGCAGTGATTCAAGCGACGAAGGATGTAACGCTAGGAAGCGTGACGGCGTCGACAGTTCGCTCTCGAGTGCAATTAGCGTGGAGCTGTGCGCGCTATCAAGAGTCCCGATCACAGCGAATAGCATTAAACGCGCGACTCGGCGCGCTCTCAATGGGAATCCCGATGCTCGAGAAGCAGAAACGATAATTCGATTTCACGTGAAACTAGCAAACACACCGGCTGACGGAAGAAGAGCAAACAGCGCCCGCGTTGGCCCGGGCTTCGAAGGAATAGGTACGTCGAGCGCGGCGAGCCTCGTTGAAAAGGAGCTCGCGCTTGCGACTTGTCTCCCTTAGGCACTCGAGAGAAAGCGAGATCCCACTTGAAGCTACCAGTCGATACGTACAGGGGGATCCAGACTTTTCGGCTTTGCAGCTTCTCTATCCTATTCTTCTTTTATCCTCATCCACTGATCCATATTCAAGTTACACCGCACCGGCTCCTTGCTTTTTCGATAATCCTTATTGTTTTCCTTGCGTTATCTCCTCTTCGAACAAGCGCCACCGCTACATCCTCCTGCAGTTAATTTGAGGGAACGCGTTCATCGCGATCGACCGTTCCGATTGAGCTTTAATAATTTTTAATTGCATTATCATAATGAATATTAGTCAACGCGTGCAACATTGAAGAAGAGAGTTCATTTCAGTTTCACGATCCACACCCCCACCGCTCCAAATCAAGTGTTCCTTATTAAAACAGCAAAAAAAAACGGAATCTAATCTGTTCACAGTATAAATGTATAAATACGCAATGAGTCCTGTCTCTCTCGACCAATTAAGTTTCGAGGGAGCTGACGGAGAAAGAGAGACAAGCCAAGCCGTAAAAAACCGCAAGGAGACGAGCGCACAGCTTTCCAAGTTTTATGAATATTATCTTCCACGGCGACAGATGTCTTTCCCGATAAAAGCCTCATGACCGGTCTCGTAATTAATAACTCCTGTCGTGGACCAGAAAGAAAAGAAGTAACGACCTCGCAACCCTAGACTTGATCCTAGCGGATAAGCGACACGCGCGCCAATTGCTTATTTTTCGCGCTGTCCTGCGCACCACCAAAAAACCAACTGTGTCGCGATTCTCGTATACGTAATTTTCAGTTAAATCGGGAGGATGACGGCAAGTGGCGCGTGGCGCGTAAATATTTCGAGAATGAGTGGGTAATTTTTGAAAAAAGCTCCGATATTAAAGGGCTCGCATTGATACAGCTGACAATTTCACCGAGGAGTCGAGAGAAAGGGCTGCCATTAATTTTACTTACTGCAGGGTGACTGTTATTGACGACGAGCATGTTTCTGCAAACTACGGCACTGTCATTTCTTTCCAAAAAGTAAGTTACACTTGGTAAGCGACTACACGCGGGAAACTGGCAGTAGATAGATTTAATTAGCCGACGTTCGATAGAACCGCACACTGGCATAAATAACTCGCGCGCTTGAGCGTAATCTGGCGGTCGGCGGGACTGGGTGGAGGGGGGCTGCTTCCCGATGGATTAGCATAAACAAATCATCGGGATTTGGAAAGGCACGCGGCGAAGCTTGGCAAAAGGTCGTCGCGTCGCTTTTGGCCTGTCCTGTCAAAGGAAGGCGCGCGATTAATGATCCTTACGAATGGCGCGTCGAATTAATCAGAGCCTCCCGTAGCGTATTCGTGCCTGCAAATTCACGTTGCTGCCGATGCCTCGCAATTATTCGGCTATTTACTTTGTCGGTTTGTCATCCGAGTTGCAACTTCATTGGACAAATCAGCCGGCAGAGGTAACGGTATGCAAACCGCTTGAATATCAAATTGGACGCAAAGGGGTTGTGCGGTGCGTAAAGTGTGCACTCGCGCTTTGCCGATAAATCAGCATTAAGCGTTTGCGTCAAGTTTCGGCAAGCTTGACGCCGTAATGCCCGCATGATTTGTACCCGGTCGAAGAGAGAGAGAGAGAGAGCGAGACTCGCACAGAGCGAGCGAGCAGCTTTTGCCGTCGGCGAGGCTGAATCGAGGACCTCTGATCCCAACCACTTGTCACTTTACACGCGAGGCAGATCATCGTCGCGACGTGTCCGTCCATCATTCGGGGATTAAATCATTCCTAGTCTCTCTCTCTCTCTCCGAGTGGCGCCGCGCGGCTTTTGCGTTCCGCTTTGAACGCTCTGACTTGCCGGCTTGCCTGCTTTTATTCGACACACAGCTCCACTCTCGAGACTTCTTTCTGTGCTCTCGTAGCTAGTCCGAGATTTAATTTTCAATGGATAATATATTGCGCCCGAGATTTAATTCCAGAGGTCAGTTGGAAAACAATGAGAGCGAGAATGAAAGCGCGCGCGCACGACACGAGCACGCGCAGCATATATAACTGGACGCGCGCGCGAGAGATGAATTAATTCTGCGGGGGTCGGAGCCGTGGAAAGGGCTAACCGTTTGAGCTCTGAAAAAGTGAAATCGAGGGCGTATTGCAAACGGACACTTTGAATGGGCGCAAGCGTTATTTCCAATTCAGAGGCGGCGCGTATTTGCTTTTCGCAGCGCTCGCAACTCGCTTTGACTCGTGGACGGACAGGCTGCGCGCGAGCCGTGAATATTCATGCGATCGCGCGCAAGCTGCCTCCAAATCGGACTTGTTGCGACTGACACTGATGTGGCCGAGCTTTGTTTGACCGGTCCACCCCACCTTCGTGCCGAACGGTCATCCCTTCTTGACGCGCCTCTCGCACCTTTTTCCAAGCGCACTTTGACGCCACCAACGTTTGCCCTCGTGCGTGCGCGCGCGCGCGTGTCTTTTGTGCACTTGTTCGCTTGCTAATGAAACGTCCGACATTTCAAAGACTCGATAAATTAATTTTAATTGTGTCCGCGAACTTAATCAAGCATTCATTTTGCGCAATTCATTACGCAATCGGCTTTTCAACCTACCTTTCGAGTTGTTTCACGATGTCCTCGTAGGCTGCTCGGCAATTGTCCCACACCGCACCAGTTCTGAAACAATGATCAATTTAATTTGTTACGTTAGTCAATTGCGTAAAAGAAATAAACGTTAGACAAGCTTGTTGCGAACAGATAAAATTGAAGCAAACGTAAATTCAATCTCGACTGCTCGCTGATTAACGAACGGATGATTAGCATAGAGACGTGCGAGTGACAAAAAAGCAAGCACATGCAGGGGGTGGACTTGATTAAGACTTTTCCGGGGTATTTAGTTCAGTGTTAGTCTGCCGGTGTCCTTTGATTCGATTGGCTTTGAAGTCAGTGGCGCTGATTAAAAAAGAGGGGCGGAGAGGGCAGCTCGTGCGCAAACATCCTTATTTTTGCAAGCTCAAAAGGAGGCCTGCTTTTCCTTTTTATTTTACATTTCGCCGTCAGCTCACTTATTAGGGTTGTCTTGCACTCGCGGAAGACGGAAAATTAAAACGACGAAGGAGGCAGCACCGTTTCATTTGATGCCGATAATTAAAAAGCAAACGAGCCAGTGATTGGCTCTGACGTGAGGACGTCGCAATGAATGTTGGACCTGCCAGTAACACTCGGCGGCCAGAAAAACAGTCAACAATTAAGCGCGACGTTCAGTCTCGATTAACGTTTGATCTCAGCTGTAGCAAAGGTAAATTCGAAACGAGACATGTCATCGCGACACAAGCCAACGGGGTTGCGCGCGCCGAATTAATCATATTCCGGTATTTGTCGTGACGACGACGTCGACGACAGCGACGACGACGATGGCGGCGGCGACGGCGGCGCCATCATTCCTCCCTTCCCGAAAACGTAATCCGTCTTACCTCGCGTTCGCGTCGGCCGCGCGCGATATATATTTGCATTTTAATTAAAAGCAAAGCGCTGGAATCATAATGCGCGGCAACGTGCGTCGTCGCGACAAACAGGCATCATTATGTGTGTGTGTGTGTGTGTGTGTGCAGATAGGCAATCGCGTCTTGCTGTTGAAAAATGTCTCGCCTCAGCTCGTCGCTAACGTCGATCGTGCTCACCGATCGATGCACACCCACGCGGCGCAAGAGCGCTTACTTGATTTCGAGTTTGAAGGGTCGAAGGACGAAGGCAAAGAGCAAATTACTAGAGTACGCGAAGGAAGGCACTGCCTAGGCTAATCCAGGCATTTGTTGGCCCGTTTCTAATAGATACTGCTCTTACGACGTTAAGCTCCGAAGCTCGCGCTCGCGAAAAACACGACCCGACGGTAATTACTCGCAAGTTGTTGCGTAGCCAGCTCGCGCTGAGTTGATGAATTTCGAGAGATCAGGCGAAATAGCAACGTGATCGCCAGAGGAAACCAAAAAACGACAAACGAAAAGAAATGGAAACAGGCAGACGTCGAAGCGGCGCGTCAAGAAGAGGATTAAAGACATAAACGGATATGCGCGGCGCGCGTAGCCTAGCGGAGAAGTGAAATGAGCGCCGGGCGACTTTGAAATCGGAAGGGGGAGGTTGATGGTCGGTGTAAGGCGAGTCGTCCGCGAATGGCCGTAGAGCGAGAGCTAAAAGAAACGAAACGGACTCGAAAAGACGAACAGAAGAAGCATCGGAAGTGTGGGTGTGTGTAGCATGCGATGCCCCCTCCCCACCCTCGACTCGGATTTCCACGGCTTCGCGTCTTGGCGTGAAATCCTCTTAAAGTTGTATTCCTCTGGCCTCGCGCGCTCGCTCCCGATCTTGCTTTCGCAAAAACAGACTCGCGGCGGCAAGGGAAACAGCGCAAAACAAATCCAATTTCTCGAGCCGCCTTTCGTTGACTGCTGCACGCGTGCAGCGCGCGCTACGTATGTCTGCAACGCCCCTTCGGCTCAAAGCCAACGAATGAATGCGCGTAAACCTGCGAATATACGTTTTCTTGATGACAAGCTTGGCCGTTCCTGCGACCAATGGGGACCGGTCAAAGTTACCTTGCCTACGCTGCTTCGCATTTGCATGCCTTTTTCTGTGATTCGAAACATCGGAGGATTTTGTTCGATCGAAAGATTCGGCAAATGTCGATGTAATGGGCATCGAATCTGAGAAAATACACATGCATTTAATGAAGCGTTTGAATTCGTAAAATTGGTTACTGTTACGCGCGCGCGCGCACACACACACACGCACACACACAGAGGATGCAAAGGATAAGGTAACTGGCTGGATATATGTTGTTTTGCAACCCTACTTAAGAAAATTAGGGACCGAAAAGTCAATCATGCGTTATATATAATTTCTGCACCTGTGCATAATGACGCACAGAACGTAACCATAAATCAAATAGAAAACATTAACCGGCACTGCGGCGGCTCGAGTGGTTTCGAATCGCGCAAATTGATTCAAACCCCGAAGGGATTTCTTCCGAGTGTCTTAGAGAAGATCGTTTGTATAAATCAAGAGCTTTACGTCTTCGGGAACTGTTGCGCTTTCAAATGCTCGAAATTATCATAACTACTCTCTGCCCGCGCTGAACAAAGCATCCCTGCAACCGTTTTCCTAAAACCATTCCATAAATATCAATTTGCCTTGCGCGCGATTAATACTCGCGTTGAAGAGCTCAGTGCTGCTCTGATAGAAGGTGTCAAGTTTCGCCGACATATCCATGGTTGTGCGGTATGGAAAGCCGGCTGTGCCTACCACACGCATCGCGCCACGCAAATAACAATAATCATCGAGGCCGCAAGGCTGAAGCAACGAGTAGGCAGATAGATGTGTGCACACGAGTAAAGGCATGATAATTTACCTCGCGAACGCCTCCATGTTGGACATGTTATGGTTGACCTTGAGTCCTTGCTCGGCTGCTCTCGCCTGGGCTTGTGCCTGGGCCTGTAGGTGATGCGGCAGACTCGCCGGCGATAGTATGGCCGTGTGACCGGCGCCTGGGTGGCCGCCGAGCTGCATGAACTGCATGTGCGAGAGATGCGTCGGCGGATGATTGTAGCCGTTTGCCAACAGCGGCGATTTCTCCAGTCGCGGCACCTCTGTAACAGCAACTCTCCCGGTCATTATTGACGTCCCGTTTTCCTCTTTCCCTCTCTCTCTCTCTCTCTCTCTCTCTCTCTTTCACTCAACGACATATTTTTATGACCATTTGCCCTTTATTTATCATTGCACACCGATTTCCACGCTTCCCCGGACCATCTCAGTGTTATAACATTTCCATTTTAGACAAATTGGTTGCTTCAAGTTTTTTTTATTTTCACCGCGAGTTAATCCTTCTTATTCAAATATAACCAAGGCAAAGAATACCGTTGTCGTCGTCGGAGGGCCAAATCGCTTTCGGATTGAGCTACGCAGATTAGCCCGGAGAGGAAATCCGTCATTCCGCGGGACAAACATTGAACTCTCGCTCGAGTTGAATTTAGAATCTTGGCGAGCCGATCGGTCTCTCTCTCTCTCTCTCTCTCTCTCTCTCTCTCTCTCTCTCCTTGCCGAGGGTGCGACGGAAAATCTTAAGGCTCCTCACTCTGTAAATAGCAAGCGATAATGTATGCGCGCTCACGTCAGGCATTCGCTGATCGATGCGCCGCGGTGAAATTGAAAGCCCGCGATTTGTCAACGTGGCGCCTTCACTTAGCTACCGAGCACGCGCGCGTTTGTTTATAATTTCCATGGCTTTACCGTTTTTTTTTTTTCGTTACGTAACCAATCATCGTCGACACGTTCTCTTTATTTTTCAAGGCGACAGTGTTCGATAGGACGCTACGTGTCGCTTGATACCGAATAAATCGAATTCAAACATAGAGGCGCGGATGGCAAAATAAGATAATTTATAATCGGCCTCCTCCGAATCGCGAAAGGTACGTTAATGGTGGCGCGTTTTTGATATAAAGATTCCGAGATGCCAGAGCCCTTGCAAAGACAAGGCGAGGACTGGTACCCATATAATTAGAAGACGGCACGAGGCGACGCCAAGGAGTTTCGACGAATCGGCTGCTGGTGATATACAACGACAGGTATACAAGCCTTAACAATTGTCATTTGCGGCTCGAGGGACTAGTGTGCTCTGCCTTTTTGAAAGTCCAACGGAGCCCTATTCATTACAAATTATCTAAATGCCAGTGATTTCGGACTGGCTCGCGCGCCACAGTTGTATAAGTGGTAGGTTCAAGTCGCGCGCGCGCGCGCACACGGTTGACCGGGTCCCCCGAAAATTGGACTTATTACAACTTATATAGCGCTCGCGCGCCATTCGAGCGCTCTCTCGGGCCGCCGCGCGCCTCCAATAACATACATTATCCCCCAATCCGTATGATTTAATGAAATCCCTCTAAACTCTCCACTTACGCGCGCATACGTGTGCCCTTTTCGGAGTCCTTCTCGCGCGCCACACTCCATCATGGCTGCGCTCGGCTCTTTGGCTCTTTATCTTGTTTCCTCGTCGCTCGCCTCCGAACAGTACATCCACGAGATAAGCGCGCAAGACGATTGTTGCATACGCCACAGACGCGACGCCCAGGCAAGAAGGAGAGGATGAAGAGCAAATTGCGATGGCGCGTCGGCCGCCGCCTCCTACGCGATGCACGACCGCTTAGTTGGGGCTTTTTCCGCCGGTACCGCAGCAGCTGCCTTTTTTTGCACCGCGAGGCAGATTTTATTTCTGCTGGCTCGTTAAGGCCGCGCAGCCGCAACTTGTCTTATGTAGTTACCGTAACCAAAGCTCCGAACGGCTGCTCTATTTAAACGATCACAAGCTAACTGTTAATATGCACGAATGCCGCGAAACTGGCCGAAAGGCTTCTTGTACGCAGAGCGATCTCTACAGCGAACGACCGTCGCATCGAGTCCATATGGAAAAGGGCTCGTTATCGACAAACGAAAAGGACGAATGACGTGACGTACACGCCACCGCACATATACTTCCATTTGGCCTAATCAGCAACGCCGTATCTGCATATAAACGAACGAACGGGCGAACGGACGAACGAACGCTCGAGTGGATGCATTTGCATCGGACAAACAGAGAAAGAGAGAGCGAGAGAGCGAGAGAGGGAGAGCGAGAGAAGAAATGAAGCGCGTGACTTTGATTTTGACGAGTCCAGTGGTGCAGACGGAGGGAGAGAGAGGACGATAAAACACAATTTGGCCCTAAAGAGCTGATCTTCGGGCGCCCCTTTGATTGTGCGCCGCGATTACCACGCACCGATCCAGTCTCGCTCTTTTCCCCTCTCTCCCTCTCTCTCGCTCTCGCTCTCGCTCTCGCTCTGATGAGGTGACAACCCGTAATTATACCAGCCCGGAATATCTTTCTGTCTGCTGTATATATGCAGCAATGCCAGTTCGCCTATATAGCCACGCTGCCACTCGCGGATCTTGACGGAACATTTCAATGTACTTCTCTCTTAATTATTGCCTTTGCGGCTGCGTGCAACTCCTCTCTCCCGTTCATTTTCTTTCTATTTCGCTCGTCCTTAATACTCGTCTTTCGCCTTTGTTTGTTTGCTGTATGTGCAAGCCTTTTAATGGAATTGCTAATTACGGAGCGAAAGGGACGAAAATCATGTTCATCAAGCTATCTATTATGTTATTTGTGTCTACTGAGAGATGTTATGTGTTAGTTTAAAAAATTATTTTTTCATCATACCTAAACCAAATCGATAAGCTAGCTGATTTAGGTCCCTTTCTGAAACAAAATTGAAAAAAACCTGTTGTTATTCTTTGGTTCGGTGAAAAAAACAATACTTATATTTAATGAGTTGGCCTTATTACGAAAGAGAACGAATTCGATAAAAATGTGGGACTAGGTTCGAATATACGACGGAAATACGGATCGAGGACGATCAATTGCAAGTGGCGAGCTATGAAACAGTTAGGCTAGGCGAGGCGAGGGTAGAGGCGTCGTTGCCGCGCGTAAGTAGGAAGGAAAGAGCCGCGCGAATGACAAAGCGACGCGATCGAGAGAATCCTCTCGGTGTCGTAGCCCCGGCGTACAACTGCGCCGCTACTACTTCTTTCGGGCGCTAGCTCGGCCGCGTTAATTACGCGAGACGCGAGGATAAATTGCCGGGCTAAATGAGACTGGGCTTGCCGCCGCTGCCTCGTTCGTCTCGCACTCCGAGCCTAGCAGTTTAGCCTTGCAGCGGGCTCTGCTCCGTCGTCTGTCGGGATTGCTTGATAAAGGGCCTCCGCTCCTATTTTTCTTCCTCTCCTTTCCTCGCTCTATTATGCAACTAGCGCGAAAAATCTTCGTCTCGCGCGATGTTATTGCGCGCAGACGAGGACAAAGAAATCCGCGACGTTCATTGAAACCGATGAGGCATGACCACATTTGCTCGGCGCTCTGGATATATCGAATTACGACGTCTAAGTCAAAGCCAGACAGAGAACTAAAGAGAGAAGTAGGTGGCCGAAACGAGCTCAAAAGGATTAACGCATGGCCCATCGAACCGCGAAGAGAGAGGGAGAGAGAGAGAGAGGCTCTGCCCAAAATTCGCGACTTCCTGCTCTGTATCCACACACACACACACACACTCGCCGCTGGTCGAAAAATCGACGGATAAAAAAGCGCCGCGTAGAGACATTTGGATTTTTGCCAGGCGAGCTGGAACAAGAGGGACACGCACGACCAAATTGTCTGGAAAATTCCAACGTTTCGGATACCGCTCTCGTCGTGCAGCGCGAAGCTTAGCGCCGGATGCCAACTCTTTCCAATGACTTCCGATCGGTCCGAAGCGATTTCATTAGACGTGCTCGCTCGACGACGATCAATCAGCAATTAGCGACGCCGAGAGAAATGACGGATGGTGCTGGGGGCGCAGGCGAGGGCTGCCGACTGTGTGCGCCATCTAGGTAAACACGGAACACGGTCTCGCGCGCGGCGGACGAGCGACGCAGGATTCCGGTTTTTCAAGTAATATCGGCCGCGAGAGGAGTCTGCTGGTCCGAGGCAAGCATCGCCACCGAAACACATCTCTCTCTCTCTCTCTCTCTCTCTCTCTCTCTCTCTCTCTCTCTCCCATTCTTTCGCACTTTCTCTTTTATTTCTCTGAGCTCGCTCGCCCCCAAAACAAAAACCTTTTTATAGGTTTTAGATTTATATCCGCCTGGCGGTTTTCGTCGAAAAGCTAAGGAGCTCGTCGCGCCATCGCGAAGAAGGGGCAGTGGATTTGCAGCCCCCAATTAATAATCGGCACGCTAATGAGTCGCTGTAAACGTCGAATCTGGCTGACATAAAGCTGCGCGCCGCTTCCTTTTCCCGCGCCTCGCCGGAAGGACGTTCGCCGCGGTCGGGCACCGATCGGGCGCTGGGGCGCTGGGGCGCTGGGGCGCCGTCGTCGACAGTCGGTATTGAGACGTAGAGGCAGCGCGGGACGCGATAAGGTAAGTAGCTCGGGCGCGGAGGAAGAGGAGGCGAGCTATCGCGGCGCTCGGCGGCGAGCTCGCGGAGAGTCCCACAGTTGCGAGTGACTGCGAGAGGGCAGTAAACCCTCTGATATACGGCCGAAGCTTTTTAGAGCTCTGTCAGCCACGCCCACAATCAGCCTTAGTATTATTTACACTCTTCGTGCGCGCAGCACACAGCGCCGTTCGTTCCTCCTTTTCCTCCTTGCTTCCTTGCTCTCGCTCCCACTAGGCGTACGCCGCCGCCGCTCGGCCCTCTCCTCCTATGCGCTCCTATTCGCCCCGGCCGCCGTGGTTATTCTACTTGTGCGTTTGTGCGCGAGCTGTCGGCTCTATCGATTCGGCGCCGAGGCCTCAAGAGCCGCAGCCGCCGCCTGCCGCCGCCTGCCGCCGCCTGCCGCACAGCGCGTCTTAAACTTCTTAAACTTGTTTGCGGACTTGACGCGCGGACAAGCGCGAAAAGAGAAAAACAGCGCCTTAGCTTTCTCTGCGAGCGGCCGAGATTTAATTTAGAGATTGCCATTTGGCGAACGCCGCGCCGAGATTTACGATCTTTGCTTTGCATCGGCTCATATAGACACATCCATATTTTAAAGTGACCAGAGAGAAGGCCGCGCAACAGTGCATCAAAAGTAAACATTATCTGCTCGCCAGACTGCCGCGATTCCTTTTCCTCGAAGCGCAATCAAATCTGAATGACAAGCGGCCGAGGATATGCCGACTGCTCCTCGTTCCTCGAATATATTGCGAACCGAGCCGCGTTTCGGAGGAGGACGTCGAGGATGATTTGCCGGCTTCCAAACCGAGCTCGGCTGCTCGAGGCGCAAAGCCGGAACAGAGGACCGTCCTACGCCGAGTACGAGCATCTGTCGGCGGCGGATGAATTTTATTGTGAGTGACCCAGATAGCGCAGCCAGCGAGCGTCGGCTCCCGCGTCGTCTAATCCAGTGCATAAACATTGGCATTGTGCTGGCAAGTCTGTGCCAGGCCCCATTACAAAGCTCGGATATTTCGTTATATTAATATCTTCCGACTGACTGGACCGCGGCGGCGGCGGCGGCGGCGGCGGCGACGCCAGGTAGAAGCGCTGACAGACGAATTTCACTGTCGGAGCCGAGCGAGCGAAATGCTCGGTACCGGTTTCCTTTATCGCACAATGCCCAACCATCCTGCTCTCCCCCTCCGCGCTCGCTCTCCTCTTGCCTTGTTCTTATTATTATCCACCACGAAAGAGATTCTCTTTTGGGCTATTGGGCGGCAGATACGGCTGCGCGCGTGCGCCTGTCGGTTTGTTTCTTTGGTGCCCTCGTTTTTTCGATTTCTTTTATCGATCTATCTCGCCCGCGCGGACTCGTGCAACCCGCTCATGCGTGAAAATGCGTTCTGATTTTTCTTCCTTTCTGCGAGCTCTCCGTTCGTCTTCCCGCGCGGTGCGCGCCGACCGCGGACAGACGCCTCCGGCCAATCATTTTCATGATATTTTATTCTGCGAATGAGCGAATAAAAGTGCGATACGCCGTGGCCGGCTTTTCAGGCGAAACCTCCGGCTACTAGTCCTTTATTACGACTCTCAAAATATTATACGCTCTCGGTATGCACACATGTGTTCCCGCGAGATTTTTATTACGCAGCTCAGCTTTTATGTCTCACGGGGGTACACACGCACCTTATGAGTCCGACAGGCCGACGATTTAAAGTCCCGCAATACGACGGATTCCCCGAGTGTCTCTTGGTCATTGTTTATCATTTTACGAGGTAATTAAAGTAAGGAGCGTGTACTCGTACACAAGCCATAGGACATAAACAGTTTAGGAAAGCTCATTCCTTCTCTTTTTGTTCGCTTTGATTTCCCGTCTCGCAAAAGCCCATCATTCATAATGCCAATCCTCCACAGAAATAGTATCGAGCTTTCATTCGATTGCACTCGATGGAACTTTCTTCGTTTTTTATTAAAACGCAATGGCATTCTTTGACCTCTTTCGTCGAGTGATGGAACAAGGATATCAGAGAACTTAATTGAGTGGTTTGCGGTGCCACCGCTAACCAGTAAATCGCCAAGAGGGGGAGACTAAAATCCGACTCTCTGGCTTACCTCTTTTTTACGTACTTTTCTCCCGCAGAGTTCACAACGCAGGACTGTGACCCTGTCGTTTTTCTCGAGAGGCGAGCGATCGATACGCTGCACCGTATAGCGGTCAATTAATCGTCGCGACTTCGCCTCTTTTTTCTATTTACTGCAATTTCCGAATCGGACAATCGGCGGTACGTCCACTGCAAGTCGAAGGGGAGAACGCGCGAACGAAGACTAATTGAGTGAAGAGCAAGGCAGATTAGCTATGAACTCGAACGAATCACGCGAGGCGATGTTTTATTCCGGGAATCGTCGCGTTCTACTGATAATGACGCTTAAGTGCCCTCTGCCCGCAGAGTCAACTACTGCGAGACGTCTTCATTTGCGCTCGCGCGCCTGTTCGAGCTCCGAACGGGCAAAAACTCGCCAGAGGCGAGTGATACAACAAAAAGCGGAATGAGGGCTCGATGAGCCCTAATGAGCGCGAAAGGTTGTCACGAGTTTACAGGCTAAAAAAATTGGAAACGCACGGACGCGCGCGCGCGCGCGCGCAGACTGGAGTAAGACGTTTCCACGCAAAATGAAAATGTTAATTGTGACTCGGTAGCTGAATGCAGAAGTGCGTGCGCGTTTTAATTCCAATTACGAAAGAAATTGCGGCTACCTACGATGCTTTCTACAGGACATTCGCCAAGGGAAAAAGTGCGGCGGTAGTGGCAGTGGGCTAATTTACGAGCAGGTCATAAAGCCAAAACAATGTTACCAAAATGAAGAGGTTTAATGCAAACAGGCACGGGAGAGCGCGAGAAAGAGAAGACTACTGCCAGGTTTTTATTTCAAGCCGACACACGCACACAGGCACGCACGTATCCTTTTAGAGTCGCTTCTCGTTGGCTGGTAGCCTCCCTTTCTTTTTGGCTCTCTTTTTCGTTCTCTCGTAAAAACAATCAAGCGGCGCGTCAGGCCGACACACTAAACCTTGATTGCAACTGATGAGGAGCAAAGCGTTGAAAAAGAGGGCGAAGAAAAACATTTCATAGCTCTCTTTCTGGCTGCGAAAGGCAACGAGAGAAAAAAAGTACACCCTCTCGGTCTTGCGATTTACACTTCTTCATTTGGCCGCCGCCGCCGCCGCCGCCGCCCCGCCGCCCCGCCGCCGCGCTGTTCGCTCAATTTCGCTCGGGTTTCGCGGCGCAGCTGCCCTTATCTGT